GGAAGCACGCCGCGGTGGAGTAGAGCGCTAGGGAGTGATAGGGGTGAGTAGTGGGAGGTGAGGCTGGAGAGGCCAGTGGGGCCACACCCCAAGGGGCCTTAGAGGCCAGGTTAAGGACTTGGGTCTTTAACTTAAGGTCGGTGGGAAACCATTGACTGTGTTTCAGCAGGGTGCCTGAAACCATCAGATTTGCATTTCAGAAAGGTCTCTCTTACTCAGGCATGCCTCTTGTTTCAGAGAAGGTCTTTCCGGCCTCTCCAGAATCTCAGTGATTCAGAGAAGAGCCAGACAGTCCAGGTGGTGGCTGGCCCGGGAGGTGGAGGGACGAAGAGTGGACAGACTTGAGAGATATTATAGTGGATACACTTGTTAGGACTAGATGCTGGATTCAATATTGAGATGCTCACCACGAACACCTGAGATCACATTCTTCAAAGGCAGGGTCCACATCACACACCTGTTTGTGGTACGCAGGTCCTAGAACAGTCCTGACACATGGTGGACTCAATACATAGTTTCTGAAAGGGTGAAACTGACCAGCGGTCTCCCAAGTGATCCTTTTACCTTAGAGGTTCTTTCATCCCTTCCTGCATGTGGCAATAATCAGCCTCTCTGATACATCATTGGGAGAAATTGGCCAAGTTCTAAAGAGTTTTCTTTGGGGGAAGTTAATACAAGAACTAAGGTCTACCTTATCCTTGAACATGAACAATAACAATAAATTTACTGCTGGTGCCGCCCAAGGGGGAAACTCCCCTAGCAGAACCTCCTACAAGAGTGAGTGATGATGGTGCCCTCCTCGGGGCCACGCTGGGCCCCAGGGTGCCAATCTGGAGGGGATCCTCTGTGGGACTCCCTGCTGACTCTTGTTCAAAACCAGTTTCCCAGCACATGAAGAAGACAGTAAGTGAGGAATCTTGCGGAAGTGCAAATGCAAGGAAGGGCTTGTACTGGCCAGGTGTTTCTTGTCTGTCTTCTCCCACACAGCCCTGTTCCACTTTTTCCACACCCAGAACCTCCCGCTTTCTCCCCCAACCTCCCTGGGCTTCTTCCACTGGTCTCCATCTCCTCCATTTCCCTTCCTTCTCCTTGGATACATGCCTCTGCCTATTTTCACCTTTCAATAAGAGGCCCATGGTGCTGCTGGAAAGAGCAGCCTCCGTCTGGGCTTTATTCTTAGCGTGAAATGCACTGAAGGTCACAGAAAGCCCTGAAACAGGGCCCGTGGGTCCAGGAGTGGGCACAGGGAGATGGCCTCATCCGATGGGGTGCTGGGTGTAGCTTTAGCACCGGAGGCAAGAAGCACCCAGCGGCCTCTGGGGGAAGTGATGGGGTTGGGTGGGATTTGTGGGCAACTAGAATTTGATGGTGGGGGTTGTCATGGAGATCTCTGGGGATTCAGTTATCTCTTTAAAAAATCCTTTCAAGAAAATCCCGGGAAATCTGATCCGTCTGTGATGGCAGTAGGTCTCAGGCAGCCTGGTTAAACTTCTCAGATGGAGGACAGGAGATTGGAAGTACAGATTCCTTTCTAAGAAACAGGAAAAGCTCTTTTCCTGGGCGATTAGATTGTGGACAAGAAGTGAGGTGGACCTGGCCATTCCAGCTCTGAGTAGGTCCCGGTGAGACACTCTGATCACCTAATGTGGTGGCTCTGGCGGGGATGGGGTGGGTCAGGGAGCCGTGCCCCATTATGCCTCCCACAGAAGAGGCAGTCACTCCGACTGTGGAGGGAGTCTGTCCCCAGGGCTACCCTCCTGGAGTGCTGCGGGGTTGGCGGCCCGCTCTGTTCATCCCTGTCCTTCCCACTGGGTGTGGATGGTTGTCAAAGCAGAAGGGGGCTCTGAGTGAAGCCACAGCCATGGAGGCCAGAGCCATAGGGCCTGTCACCTGTGTGGGAGTGCAGGGGCAGGGGCAGGTGGCCCCGTGGCTGCAGCACTTCCCACACTGGGGGCAGGGAAAGGGCCTCTCACTCAAATGGACCAGGCGGTGCTGGGAGGGGTGGGAGCATGACAAAAGGAGGCTCCACAGTCCAGGCCAGAAAAGGGCTTTGGGGTGGGAGCAGGGGCTGCTGGGAGGGATGTGGGACAGGGTCAGCTGTGACAGCAGAGGGGTCAAGGGGTAGATGGGGAGCTGGAGGTCTGTCCTGCCTTCTCCTTCTCCTCTGCCTTGGCTCCCAGCCTGTAGGGGAGGAGGATTAAGGTGAGAGCAGCCAGGAGCGGGGGGAGGCAGAGAGACCAAGGTGGTGCAGGCAGGCTGAGCCCCACCCTGAGGAACCCAGGGCACAACTTTCCCGTGAGCAGTTTGCCAGGGTTTTGAGGGCAGCTGGGTGACAACCAAGCCCTCAGGGTTAGGCCTCACCTGGGCAGGGGTCTCCTTTGGCCCTGGGCTCTGGGGCTCAGCTTCTGCACTTAGACACATAATCTGCTTCGGTTTGGGGACCAAGAAGCCTGAAAGAGATAAAATGAGGGGGAGACTAACAGAGAGAGAGGCTCCCCTCCCCCCCCAGGCCCCCCACCTACTTCCTTCTTCCCTCCCGTCCATCCAGCCTGGTGGCACCTCCTCTGAGAAGCTCTTCCTGACCACCCTGCGGCTTCCAGTGATGCCCCTGCCCTGAGGCCTGGCATCCCTCCAAGGGGACACTTGTCATTCACACTGTAAGGACCAGAGTATCTACTGCAGGGGTTCTGGGCCCCGAGCACATCAGATTCACATGGAGGGCTTGTTAATACACAACTGCGGGCCCCACCTCGCAAGTCCCTTTCCTATGCGAGGTCGTGTGGTTTGTAAGTGGCGAGGTGGAAATTTGGACCCCGATCAGTCTGAATCTAATGTCTTCCTTTCTCCACCTTGCTCCTCTGGGTAGTTACTCTCCTTTTATGCTCTGTATTTTGTCTCTCAACAAAATAATCAGGTTCCCTTTTGTATACTTTGTGTCTCTCACTTTGCCTCACCCATAGGTGCAGGCTACACTGACAGAGGCTGAAAGACTTGGGGAGCTATCTCAGGGAGTGGGGGTGGAACAGAATTGGAGCAACCCCCGCCCCCTTCTGCCAGCATTGGGGAAGGGGAATGCCTGGTCAGGTCAGGTAGTCATTTTTTCTTTGTTGTGGGCAGGGGAGATGGACCTGGAGCAACAGTTCTGTATGTCACTCACATGGTGCCATCTAAAGAAACAGGCAGCCTGCGAAGTTCAGCGTCTCGGGGGCAGAGGAGGGCGACAGAGCACTGGCAGCAGAGAGGGGTCCGAGGAGGAGCGTGAGAAGCGGAACGGCGGAGAGGCGTGGGCCGTGGTGTGGACTGGGGCCCTAGGAGAGGAGAGACCGGGGACCAAGGCCCGCAGGCGGCTCCAGAGTGAAGCCAGAGGGCGGGGGAAGAGGCAGAAGGGCCGCCGGGTCGGGTAGGGCTGGCGAGAACGAGGAGAGTGAGGAAGTGTTGCTCCGGGCAGCCGCTGGAACCAGAAGAGAAGCCGGGTTCATTCCAGACTCTTCGGCTTCCACCTCGGTACCTCCCGCGACTCCTCGCCATCGGTTTCTCTCCCTTGAAACTCCGGGAGCGACGCCCACCTTCCTCCCGCCCTCACATCCCGGGAGCGTCGACCCCCTGGATGCCTGGGGTGGGAGAAAAGGGGAGCCAGGATCGGGTATCCAGGGAGGCGGGGGTAGAAAGGGGCTTCTACGAAGGTGAAGTGGGTGTTGTCTATTTCTACAGGGCGAGAGGTCTCGGGGGTGGGCGCCCGGTCACCTGGGCTGGAGGGTACCCCCTGCGTCCGTCGTACTGAGGGTGAAAGGGACGAGGGGCAGCAAACGAGAAACGCCAAGTGTGGAGTGAGGTGCCCTCGGGCCAGCGAGTCAGACGCCGAGGCTGACTCCTCAGCCGGGAGGGCCGAGACTGAGCGAGCCACGGGAATTTGGGGCGGAGTGGGGTGGGGGCGCGAAGGGCAACGGAAACAGGAAGTGAGGGGCAGAGAGGCCAAAGGGGGTGGCGGGAGGCAGCGTCAGTCCCTCCTGGGAAGGCGATCCTCTCCACCTCGCCGGGGCGTGGCGCGCTAAGGGGGCCCCTGACCCCGGAACTCGAGGCGTTGGGGGTGCGGAGCAGCGAGCGCTTTACTGGACGCCCCCACCTGGGCTTTCCGCTGCCGCCGGGACCGGCACAGAACTACAACTCCCGGGCAGCCCTCCCTCCGCTCGGCCCCGCGGCACGGCGGGCACCGACCGGCTCGCTCGCTCCTGGGAACTGTAGTCCCTGGCCCTGCCCGTCTTCTTCGGGAGGCTACCCGGGGGCGGGATATGTGCAGGGAGCTTCTCGCAGGGACGAGGAATTGTACCCCTTCCAAACATCTCAGGCCTGCCTTGTCACCCTCTTGAGCCACTTTCCTTCTTTCCCTGTGGTATTGAAACCCGGGATCTCAGCCTGGGCATTCAGGTCATAGGGGAAAAGCTTGGGATCTGACTTCACACCTCTCTGCTCTCCACCCTGTCTCTTACAGCTTCACAGGTCCTTCCAATTTTCGTTCACATTTGCTGATTTGAAGGTTCAGGAAAATGGGATCTACACACCGTGAATATCCTTTGACATTTCCTCCCCATTTCCAAGGCTGATTCTACATGATTTCTAGGATTCCCTCCCCGATCTTTGTTTTCCTCTCCTTCTAGTAACCCCCTGATAAAGAGACACAGAACCAGGTTTCAAAGAGGAATAAAAGCAAATTTGTTGTTGGTAGAAGGGCATGAAGGGAAGGGCTCTTCACCCTTCCCAACATCTTGCATGGATGGGAGGTTGGGGGCAATAGAAAAGGCAGTAGATGGGGGCGCAGGCCCCACTCTGTACAATATAGAAGAATCTGATATAGATACTTTGTATAAAAGCCACTTGTCCTCATTTGTGTCCTCTTGCTGGCTGGCCGGGCTGGGGGGCTCTGGGGGACAAAGAAGCTGGGTGGTGGGCCAGGACTCAGGGACACCCCATGGTCCCCATCCCCTGGCTGTCCCCTTGAGGGGTCACTTTGGATCCTTGGTGGGGGCATAGCAGAGCTCCAGTGGTCGGGACACTTTCCAGAACTTCTCATTCACCAGCTCCAGGGTTAGCGAGCCATTCAGTGTCTACAGAGGGGGTGGGTGGGGGAGGAGAGGGAAGAGGAAAGTAAGTTGGGAAAGATGGTAAAGGAAATGAATGAGAGGAGGGAAAAAAAGGAAGAAGGAATAATAAATGGGGCAAATCACGGACACGGATGATGGGGAAGGAGGAGGGACAGAGAAGGGAGATGGGAGATGCAGAGGGAGAAGAGGGCTGGTCAGTCAGGTCAGGATCTCGGTTCTGCGTCCCCAGGCCACTCTCCCTCCTCTCCTCTCTCACACCGCTGCCCTCAGAGGCTCTCACCGTGAAAGCTCCGCCCCCGGGGGCGATGTAGATGGTATACTGCTTTTCGCTGACACCCTCCAGACTGGGCAAGGCAGGCTCTTCAGGGCCGTCACCTCCTCCGGCACCCCCACCCTCCCCGCCTCCCCCATCAGGTCCTCCGGCGTCAGAGGCGCCCCCTCCAGGCCCTCCTGGCTCCCCCGCCTCTTGCTGCTGCCTCCGTTCGAGGGCAATGCGCAGGGCCAAGTACTTGGAGAGATGGTCCACTGTGGCATTCCCAGTTGTCTTCACATACCTGGAGTGGGAGAGAGGGCAGGTTGAGGGCACAGGAAGCCTCAAATGGAGAAGAAGTTGGGGATTTCCCAAAGGGCCTCTGGGTTAGGGATTCTTTCTGGGTTTGGGCGAAGCCCAATTCTGATGGGAGATCATGAGACCTTTGGTTTCTCAGTGGTCTGGGGAAGGACGAAGCTCTCACCTCGTCTGGCAGTATTCTCCCTTCTCCACGAGCAGGGGGTGGGGCCGGAACACGAGCTCAATTTCTCCACCTGGCTCTGGGGGACTGGGAGCCCCGGGAGGGCTTGGGGGGCCCAGGGTTCCCCCTCCCAGAGTCCCTCCCCGGTCACCAGAGTCTTCAGAACCGGCACCCCCACCCACCCCACCAGTGCCACCTCCCCCTGTCCCTACACTGCTCCCCCCCGCGCCCCCTCCACGGGGTCGCTTGGGAGCAGGGCCTGGGGCAGAGTCAGGGGCGGAGTCTGAGCTCACATCCTCTCCATCCCCCTCTCCCTCCCCCGGTTTTCATTCCCCCTGACTCATCGTTGTGGTCTGATCTGACCCAGGCATCGGCCGCCTCACACGCTGGGCCCTGTGGAAACAAGTGGTCGAGGTTAGAAAGCACCAAGGATAAGGGGTTTAGATTTTAAACTTCAGAGAATTAAGAGATCAGGGAAATCTTAATGATGATACCTAATATTTATTACATACTGACTACATGCTAAGCACATTGTTAAGTATTTTGCACTGATTGCCTCAAATTATACAAATCCTACGGACACAGATAACTATATCACCTCTATTTTATGGCTAAGGAAACTGAGGCTTAGAGAGGTTAAATAACTAGTTTGAGACCATAGTCTCTTTGCCTCTCAAAGCGTGGTCCAAGAACCAGTAGCAGTCTTGTAGAGACGCAGAATCTCAGGCCCAACTTGTGACCTACTGAATCAGAATCTGCTTTTTTAACAAGACTCTCAGGTAATTTGGATACACATTAAAGACTGAGTGATGCTGGCCTAGGAGGTGATTTAATTCCCAGCAGTCTGAACTCAGAGCTCATGCTCAAAAAGCACTCTACTGTTCTAACTTCTAGAAAGTTAGATGAGCTATTTCCTTAAGAACAGTAGTACAAGCTACAGTTTACATCCATGATCTCCAGTCGTCACAGTTAGGCTGTGATCAGCACTCAGGAGGCTGAGGCCTAGAAGTAAAGACAGGCCCAGGAGT